ATGTACATGTTGATATATATTATTAACGTATGTATGTACTAGTTTGACAGAATTTGGAGATAAAGTTAACGCACATCTAATTAGTAGTGTAAAAACAAAGTTACCTTTTCTTTATAAAGTTATCCAACGCAGCGAGCTAAATGACCAACAATAATATATTTGTGTTTTTTTTTGGTGATTGTTTAAATCTTGGAAATGGTGATTCTTACAAATGTTGGCAAAGATAGATTAGATGTCATGTCGTACATATATGTTAATAGAATAAGTCGATTAATTTGAATTCCTTGTCACTACGTTGGGGTGAAAACAATAATACATCTTATTATTAGCAAGCTAGGCTGGTCATCATTCAAACGTCTTTAAGGTTTATTTAATATGCATATCCGCTCTCCAGAACAACCAAATCACGTGATTTTGTTTTTGAGAATATATATTTTCTATGAGACACAATTGCATTAAGATTCTGAGATCCAATGAAGTTAGCCACATTAAGTCAATTATTTTGCTGGAAAGTTAATCTCTTGTTTTATTACACAAAATGGTAACATTAGGTAGAACAATACCAAAGTCAATTTATGATAACTTAGTTGCGTGAATGTTTAACATATATGCGTATAGAGAGTGTCATGTGTGGTGTTGGTGCAATACAACACATTATTTGACAAAGCTGTATGGGCACATTGTAGGTATAGCAAAATTAATTTACAAATTAAGGATAGCTAACTAAAATAACATTTACACAACGAATGTCGTCGCACGAACTGTTGAATGATAAGCGAATAACCGATTAATAAACTTGTTTTTATGCCATATCATACAAAGAACAGAAATATAAGAACCCAAGAAACAAACTATAATGAACTCAAACACGATGATTGTTTTGAGAGCTATACCAGTAAAGCAATGGGTCAAGTCAATTAAAAAATATTGAAATTTAAAGTAAAAGAATTACTAAAGCAACGATCAAGTGATAAATAGTCACATGTTCTTTGTTTTATTTGTATGTATGTATGGTAATAATAATAAACAAACTAAATTATTTTGTGTTTACATGAAAGTGTGGGGTGCATGCATATTTATAAAAAAATCTTAATTAAAAATATATATTTGCGGCAATTTTTTTTGTGAATGAATTATTTTTTATTGTAATTCGATGAATGGAAATTCGTTGTGTAATTTTTGTGGGAAAAACACAATCAAAGTTGATTGATCAATTATATAAAAAAAATTCGCAATATTTTTTATTTTCATATAAAAATTGTCTCGGGTTTTTGTTGATACAATAAATACAATAATAACAATAATAGTAGTAGTTAATAGAAGAAGATGAAAACTCCGAGTTGGAGCCGAGTTCAGATTGATTGTTATTATATTCAAAATTAATCTAATTAAAAAAGAAATTTAAAGGAGAAGTTTGTGTAAGAGAAAGAATACGGAAAAATATAATTGTCTTAATTTCACACGCACGCATGGATTTTCAGTAATTTAAAAAAGGTATATTAATAAAATAGTATCACAAGGAAATGGGAACTACAGGGTTCTAATTATAAAGCCCAGTTATATAGACTACGATATTTAGAAAGATTTGCATAGATACCAGCGCGGTATGACCCCTGAATACGATATTTAGTTAATTCGGTACCATATTTAAATAGATTTACATGATTTATCTATTTTGACCCGCGCGGTAAAGATGTTGGGGCTGTGTAACGCATTTTTAAATTTTATGCCCGCGGCGTATTCAGGGTCCTGTTTATCATTGGTCAAAAATTATTTAACAAAACAATTAAAAAAATAAATATTATTCATTTGTACATTTTTTATTATAAATATTGATTTGGCGTGCTTTTTTTCGGCCGATTCTGTAAACAACTGTCGCAGTACTTATTGAGAAGATACGAGCCAAACAATTTCCCGGACCAAGTGGTTTTTGAGATATGCGAATGAACCCAAATGCTGAAGGAAGAACTCATTTATCATTCAGTCACGGGCACAGAAAAGTTGTATTGAGCGTAATTATAATTTAGATTAGCAAGATTAGAAGTAGCAGAGACATCAGATATTGCGAATTGTCCCGTTAGAATTTCCAGAAACAAGAGTGTAATTTACAAATTACATGGATGCTAGGTTATGTATATGAGTTTTTTAGGGTCTGAATAATCTTTGAATCTATTTCTATACTCGTATCATGATAAATGCTTTCAAGATAATTTCTTGTCCTCAAAAATAAAGCAAGCTATTGGATTTTACACATAGCCAAAACAAAAATGATTCGAAGGATTAAATTGTTTGTTAGAGATAGATTGATGTATATAACATTTGCTGTTCTACGTCATTGTAAAAAAATTTATTCTCATTTTAGTCTATGGAATAGCATTCAACCATTAAACAATTAACAAATCATTTAAAAGAGTTGTTGTCCATTATCAATCAATCAAAAAGCTCTTTATTCGCCAAAAGAATAGTGGTTAATAAATAATATTAGCAAAAACAAACTAATTAATTACAATAATATCAAGATTAAGTTGAAGCAATTGGTGACACATTCCACCCAATATGAAAAATATAGAGTATAGAGAATATATCAATTGATCATAGCGCAGAACGTTTTACTTCAACGTTTAGATAAACTTCATTGACCTTTCTAGGGTTAGAAATAGGGGTTATGGTAATGATTTCATTACTTCATATTACTAAAAAAAAAGGATGAAATAATAGAAACTGGTTAACTTGTTTGCTTGATGTTCTTTAGTAATTGACTGTTAGTTATATACATTATGTATAAATGTTAAGCTTTTTTGCCATACAAAAAAATGGACCGTCAATCAGAAATCATCGTCAAAGTGAATTACTTAAGTTAATTGCTAGTTAATATGAATAAATTGATCAATTGATAATTTGTTTTTGGAGGAAAAGTGATTATGGCAATCATTGCGGATTCTCGATTTTCTTAAAAATAACTATATATGCCATTTGACTTAAATAGCTCAAATAATTACGGAGACAATTTCTGCAACTATAATCCGTATTTTTGTTTGTTATAATTGTTTAAATTTACTAAATTTGTATTTAATTAAAATTAGAGCAACCATTAATTGTTTGTTTATTTGTAAAACTTTACTTTAATTAAAACTATATGTATGTATGTATGTATGTATGTTTATTTGTAAACAATCTTCAGAAAATCCTAAGATGGTCTCGGAGATCTACGGAACTTGAGTTTTTTCCAGAGTAGGGAGGGGAACAACTTTCTCTCTATTAATATCTTAGTGCGTATTAAAGGAAAAAAAGTTAAGCGTGCTTGCATGTCCCGAAAAGCTCCGTCGGATATTTTTCAGGTTTTTTTATGGACTACCCCAAATAAGGAAACAATATTTTCTCACCCCACAAAAACTCTTACTAAATCGCGTAAATATTTTACACACCAATCAATTCAATCAATTCAATTCAATTTTGTTTATCACTCACTATAACTTTTTTTAAGGTTTATATGTTTGTGTACTCCATAATTAATATATATACATATTATTATCGTTCAAAATATTAAGACAGATTAGGCAGATTGCTAAACGCCACGATCGCCGATATAATGTGACTGTGATGTTAACGGTTTTAATATGACCCATGCTTTTTTATAAAAAATAATCGGGGTAACCAATGTATAAATTCAATAAGGTTTAGTTCTTTCTCTTCAGTTTTGTTTTTGCTTTGTTGATAAGATTTTCTATTTTTGTTTTGTCTTTTTGTTGTGGTTGTGGTAAGGTGTTATTTCGAGAGGCATTACGCCACCAACCCCTTTGCCATCCTTGACATGCACCAAGCAAGAAAATCACCCATAATTTGCTAATGTTTAATACGTAAATAATTGTGTGCAAAATAACAATCTATTTTTATTTTGTTAATAAAATCTTAAGTTTTATTTGCCAATTCTAATAAAAAGGTATCTTTTTTCACTAATATGTATATATATGTATATACTTCCTGGACAAAGAATCTGGACGTCATAATAAAAAAAATTTAAAAAAATAAATTTTCAAGTAGAAAAATGAAACATAATGATGTGTTGTTGTTGTTGATGGATATTACTAAAGAACGTGTTCAACAAATCAATTGCGGCGAAAGTGCCAAACTTTTCACGAACTGAAAATGATTCAAGAAAAGTGATAGAGGAAAGAAAACAAAATCATCAACTACCAAGAATTGTTATCGTGAAGTTCCAGAGTTGATTTTTCCTAATTTTGGGATCGTCTAATAATCCTGCTTCCGCGAATGCCAAGTAGAAGGAATTAGGAATGAATTAATTAGCAAATATTGCTTTATTTGCTTCTGTTATCACAATCACAAATATTTGTGGCGTCTAGCTGTTTGTGGCTTTACGTTTAATACCAGTTTTTCCCATTGTTTTTTGAAATTCAAATTAGGTAACTCAATCTGACTCGGAGTTTTCATTATTAGGTAAAATTTAGAATTTATCGATAAGGTTTTTATTTAATGTGAGAAAATTTAATTTTTTTGGTAAATCGTTTATCAAAAATTGTAAAGGTGAATGAATTTATTAACTAGAGCAATAATAATGACAATAACAACAATAACAATATTAATAATGACGGTACTAATTAATATATGGAAATATGTATTAATTAATTGCACAACATTCTTGTCAGCAAAAAAGTAACCAATTTCCAGACTATTATTATTTACTATAATTGTTAAATTATTATTATTTATTATCAATCAATAAATGGGAATTCATTCATTTCGGTCATTTTTCCCAAGAATTATCTAAATATGGTCTATCAGTGTTGGTAGATTTAGCGCCTAAATAAAAATAACCGAATAAATTTTTTGATTTTGGTTTTTTTGGCAAATCTCAATCATAGATAATGTATTTTGTATGTGTGCACAAATATATAGTAATAGTGTAATTTTTATTTATGATGATGCGATACGTTATCACCATCTTTTGGAGGAAAAGAGAATATAAGCACAGAATTTTATATTTACGATTTTGTCAGCCTCGTTTTTTTTGCTGATTTGGACTAAGGAAATTATAGAATAAATATCGTCATCATTCATTATACATCATTATATATAATTTATAACAGCACATATAAAATCATCATACCTTGTCATTTTTATTATGTGTGGATCCATGTTTTTTTTCAAATGTTTTCATAAATTCATTTGGGATATAGTTTTTTGTTGTAATCTTGTAGAAAATCACCAATTCGTTAACTATTATCTATATCGTAATCATCGTTAAAAAATACTACTAACCTGTGATATAATCTCGGGATTTGATAGTTTGCTAAATAAATCATTAGGTAAATTGACGTCTCCAGGAAAATCAGTAGTTAATGGCCAAGAAAGAGATTTACATTTGGCTCTTATTAGATGTTGAGTCAAATCACTCAATAAATATAAATTCTATAACAAAAAAATTTATTATTAAACCCATTTTTTGTTTCTTTAATCTCTTTTCAAAAGAATAAGATTTATTCGTACCTCGCTCTGTTCTAATGATTGTTTATCGCGAACTTGTTTTAATTTTCCTGCAAGACAAGACAAATATGAAATATTCTCCGAATCTGCAATTGTATTTAAGAAAAAATCTATATAACTTTCAAACGAAATGAAATAATTATATTTAATATCATAATTCATAATTCAAAATGTGCATATGTTGCAAATTATTGATTATAAATAATGATTTACTTACACCATGAATTCAGAAAGGACATTTAATTCGTGCGAAAAATCAGGATGATGGGAAAGGAGATGAATCAATCTAACTAAAGACATCTCAAACAACAGATTCTTATCACCTTCAATAAAGAATAAAGATATAAAAATATTATTGTTAAGAAAATATATCACAATTAAACTTGAGAGTGATTATTTAGTAAATACTTACGGATCGACCCAGTTGCACGAGATTGTCTTGTCAAAAAAACTTTAACCTATTGTATATGTGCAGTATAATTTAAAATTCACATCTATTAGTTGAACTTAATATTAATATCTTTAATATAATTTTAAATTTATTAACATTATTATTAAATTTACCATATCACGAATTTCGTGCGCAGGATCATGTGCAGTTAAAAAAAATATAGACAAGAATCGTGCATGTAGAAGATAACTTGCACAATATTTAACAAGCCTTGAAGCAAATCCAAATCTCACTTGGTAACAAGGATCCTAAACATTAATAAATATAAGGTTAGGTGTATATATATAAAGTAAAGATTTTTTGGATGAGAAAAAAAACTACTAACTTGTATCATAAATGCCAATTCTTGAAATTCTCCAACAGATATCATTGAATTATATATTTTTTTATGTGCTAGCTTTAATAAATTGTGAACAGCTGCCAATCTTAATCTACTCCGAAATGAAGGTCTTTAAACAATGTTTAGAACAGTCAATACAAATTGTATTTAAACATGTGTAATTATAAATATTATACATATTTAATATTATACCTTGTTGATTTATCACCAAGTAATTCGCCGCCTTCCCTTATTAAATTCCAAAATAATTTAAAAATAGGTTTAGCCAACTCGACTGCTACCTCTCTATCAGAAACTGTCAGTAAACGGTTCACCAGTACTTTTAATCCCATTATCTATATATATAAACCTTTTCAGTTTGATGCCATATTTAATTCCTCGAATTTTTTTATCAGTTGCTAGGGATTTATTTACCTTTGCCTTACATTCATCGTCAATTACATGATCTTCTATCCATTCGACATCATCTCCTGGAACTGCTTTATGATAATTTTTCATTAATATCTCTTTAACAATAAAATTAGTTATCGAGTCACTCTTCTCTTCGTATACAATAGGTGCATAAAGAACACATTGACTGAGTGCTGAAAGATTTGATAATATATATTCAGACCTCACAGAAAGGTTTGGTACGATGTTCTTACATAACGAATTATAATAATAATAAATTATTTAATAATGAAAAACTGATCAAATCAGATTGAATTAAAAAAAAAGCAATAATTATAATACAAACATTTAACAATTCACTGCACAATTGATCTTTTTGTCGTACATGACCTAAAATAATAGTAGCAAATTTGGCTTGTTTGGGTGTTCCTTCAAGTGATAATTTCATAAAACGTTCTATATGACCCCTATTGAAATACATGTACGCTTTTTTTAATAAAAATAAAAATAATAAATTTATCAAATTAATAATTTCAAAATTCTAAACCTTTCTTGAGGCGTTTCGTCAGGAAATGTTTTAGCCAATTTAGAAAGTACTTCCAAACTATCTTCTTAATAAATTCTTTATTAGTTTGGTTTATGTAGTTAAAATACTATATGTATATAAGCTAGTAGTACCTGTAGTTTCATCATCTTCATTAATGGCCAAATCTGTCAGTTCATGAAAGTAGGGTTTAAATATAGCAGGAAACCGGTGGGATGTTTCCTATTTTCATTTATTATTACAAGAACAACATATTATTGTTAATAATCATATTAAATAATACTAATAACATGTAAATATATACGTAATAGAATCTTTAAATACCCTAAATAATTCGTGTGCAATAATAGAATCGCCATTATGTTTAGAAGTATCCATCGATCTAATTTTATCTAAAAGCAATGCTATCAAATCCCTATTAATTATGGTTAGACTAATTCGACGTATTAGGGTAGAAAATGTCTCAGCTGAAGAGGGCGACAGTTGTTCAATGCATTTTAATGCATCTTTCTAAGAAATTGAATGGATGTGAGAACATATAACATATGAATTATAATATATACGCCCTATATATGTAAATAATTGTGACAAACCGCAGATTTTTTCACAGTTTTATAATCTGAGGTAGGATTCATACAACCTCTTATCAATTTGTAAATACGACTGTTATTCAATTTTGGGAACGATGAAAGATGGTTTACCGATTTCAATGGATCTGGAAGTTTTCCTAATTATATAAATAATTGTTTATCAAATAATTAGTAGATCTTTTATTTAAATTGTTTATATATATAAATTATTAAATCATTACAAAAAAAAAATATCACCTGCAATTCGATTAATTGTTTGATTCAACATATCATCTGCTTTATCTGCATCACCATCTACCTCAACGTCCTTGAAATAACAATTTTTTTTTTAATTCCAAGTTTTTTAAATAAAAGATAGGCTAATTCAATAAACAAAATAAAGTACCATAGAATTTTCACACAAGTTTAAATATATTTCCATATCATTAATTGTTCTAAAACATTACCACAAGTATAATGAAGAAAAGAATGTATAGTTACATAACTTAATGATGATTGATAATATGAATAACAATTATCATCATTATAATAATGATAATACTAAAGATACTAGATGATGATTTATAATAGTAACAAACTCACTCTTTTTGTCTTTGAAGAATTGAAAAAAAAGCTTTCTTTGCCTTTGCCTCAAGTGAACCAAAAACAACAAGAAGTCGATCCATTCTGGCTGATTCCACATTATTAGATGCCAATATCTCTTCATGCAAAACATTTTCTACAGATGCACTAGATTAATCAAAATAATATTAAAAAAAACCTTGTATTTTGATAAAAAGTATTGAAATAATTAATAATTCTAACATAATCTCATTGTCATTTGTATATATAGTATTCAATAATTCTGAAGGAATCCATCCAAATTTTTCAGGTGCATTAGCTTCATTATCAAGACTAACAATTAAATTATATGTGTTGTATTATGTTAATAAATTCACAATTTTTATATTACAAAACACACCCTTCTTCACTGTGTATTTAACTTACATTTCCAAATATGCCATGTTATATAAACGGGCCAAAGCCTTTATAGCTTCTTGTCTGACACCATGCTTTTTTTAATGTATATATCAATTTAGCATTTATATAAAATAAAAATTCAATGAATATTATTATTAGTTACTATTAGGTGATTAATTACTTTACGATCGCGACAGCGTTTAGCAAGTTCGATAAATAAATCTTTTTTGACATGTTTTGAAGCACATTCATATTCTAATTGACAAAAAACTCTACAAACAGCTATTCGAACTTTATCATCAGGATCTGATAATTTGGTAATAATCGCCTCTGATTTATTTTAAAAAAAAAAAAATTTTAATAAACAATAATATCTTATCTAATATTTAACCAAAATTATTAAAGCGAAATAATTACCATTAATTTGATCCGCTAATTCATGATGATTGGTGTATAATGGCAAACAAAATTCTACCCATGTACACCTAACATCAGCCACCTTGTCATTCCGCCTTTTAAGTAATGAAACTATTATGTAAGTATTTCTTTAATAATGATAATAATGAATTATTTTTAACAATGCTATATATATGTATGCATAAACGTATGTGGAAACCTTAATAGCCACGTTCTCCATACACTGTCATATCTACTAGCCAAAGTGGAATCTTTCTCTGAAAACATTTCGCCAAGTACTTGTGTTGCAAGCATTCTCAAATTTAGGTCATCAAGCTAATAATAAAATATTATGGTGAAATGAAATTTTGAAAAATTAAAAAAAAACAATAAAAAATAATTAAATTTACTTTTAACTCTTCTTCCAGTTGCGGTATCACATTAAGTAATAAACCAGGAGCCACTCTATTTAATTCCTTGATAAGATCATGTGCAGTTTTAAAATCGTTCAATTCATCAGCTGTTGATGTCCCCGTCTTTTCTGCTGCTACAATCACATCTGTAAAATACTAAAAATCAAAATAAATTTATTAAATTTATTAAAATAAAAATGCTAACACGAATGAATTAAAACAGATCAAACAGATATTATGAATTTTAAAGTACTTGACAAACATATCGTTGAAGTTTATCAGTTGCTGCCCTACAAACATCACATGCTAATCTATATGCTGTTGGGTTTTCATCCTAAATATATATTATATTATTATTTTAACAACTTAAAATAATTTATTAAATAATCAATTTCAAAACCCAAACCTTTCTTTTTCTTAAAAATTGTGCCAGAATAATGTCAATCACATCCTGAGGTAGAGCATTACCGTCATTGATTAATTGTTCAAGAATATCTACCATATGCGAATAAACTATATTTGACAATTCTGGTCTAAATCAAAACAAAAAAAAAAAAGAAATGATTTAATAATTGCAAGAAAGAATGAAGCAAGGATCAAATATCTGATAGAATACCACATCAAATAATTCAACTATTATTTTTTCTTCCTTACCTAACAACGTCAAAAAAATTACGAAATAACTCAATTAAAATTTCTTCATAATCTTGTAATTCAAGAATTAATAAAACAATTTTTACTGTTGACAAATTTTCCAGTAAATGGAAATATAAATCAAAATATGGACCATCTATTTTTCCAATATTTTGAAGTTGTTGGACAAAAAATACAAAAATTTCCTTTATTTATTAAAAAACTAACCAATTAATATATAAATATATATAATGAATCAAACACATATAAATTAAATTAATCAAACTTACTCTCAATTCGTGATCTGTGTAAGGAGCATCAGGAGCATAAAGTCTCAATAAATCAGAAATACAACATGCCACATAGGCCTTTATTCCATTATCTTTATGCCCCATCAAACTTTTATTTATAAGATCATGAGTTATACTTTTTAATGAATTTTGGTCAACCTCTTCTTGTTCCATTGTAGATAATTCTCCAAATAAACTCTACAGTCACGTAAATATATGAATACGAATATGAATATATGAGATAGTGGTTTTCAAGTATGCAAATGAAATGACTTGTGTAAAATCACAATTATAAAAAAAACAATTACTTTTAATCGTTTTAGTAATTCTGATGTTGAAAGAGGTTTTGATGTCGCTACAAGCTTTAGTTTGAATTTAAGAGAGGAAGATCGTGTCATTTCTCCAGTATTTTTAGACATGTTGGCGTCTTTTGTCTTTTATATTTCCTTGATAATCAAATACTGTAAATACTATATAAAACTTTTAACTTATATATGTTAATTTTATTCCTCTACTTGTGAATTTATTTTATTGATTTTTTTTTTTAGTTTTTTAATCTTAATATTAATTATAATTGTGATCTACGCACTTTTTCCAGGGGTTTCAATATCAATATCAATATTTAATATATGGGGCATACTGAAACAAAACCAGACAAAGTGAACATTGGTATTACCAAGGATTTCAGGGAGTCATTATTATTCATGGGAATAGTCACTTAAATTCGTTATGACAAAAATTTGTTGAAAAAAAGCCTGTCGAAACGATTGTTGACTGTATATACTAAGGATTCAAATGATCTATTGTAAATTTATCAAAAAAATTACTTGGAAAGTCAATCACTTTAATTTATTATTATTAAATATATTTTTTGTTTTAACTTTTTTCTACAGAAATTACTTATTAAATATTAAATTATAATAACAATAATTTATACATATCCATTTATTTGTGATTGATTGCAATAAACTGCTACAGCAAGAGTGATATTTGTAAATTGATTAAAAAAAAAATTTCATGTTTAATTTACTATATATATTATGTATGTAATAATGTATACATTGTTATTTTACCTTATGCTTTACCCATTGAATAGTCTGAAGGATTATTTTTTCATTTTAAAGTTTATTGATTTAAAAATCAATTAACATTTTCACCATTATCACATTTTTTTCTTCTTTTATACCTTTGTACAGTCACCATGAATATATCTTCTGATGATGAGTATCCAGAAGATTCTTTTCTGCTTTCAACAATCTGAAGATTTTTTGTTTGATTTATATTCTCTTTATCCAGATTGCCTATTAATTTGATATTGGTTTTTTTATCAAGTGGAATTTCGAATCTCCTAATGCCAGTATTGGTATCAGTTAACACATTAAAAATTGTAAATTTTGAATTAGGTGTTATGTGCCATGTATTGACATAGGGCTTTCGCACACTTTTTGTTTCATGGAAGTCAGTAAGAAGGTGTGATTTTATTGGTATTTGTTCATACCTTCCACCTTAATAAAAGGTAAGTATATATTATATATATTAGCAGGTAAAACCAAATAGTCTAACACAATACTACATATACACTTACATACCCTCTTGGAAATGTTGATGATGCTCTTTCATTTTAATTCCATTAATAAGTAGTTCAATCCCCCATTCCATCTCAGCAATGTAAAAATCTAAAAGTCCTTTCGTTTTATAGATATGTCCAACATCTGTTGATAGATGCATTTTGTCAGAAAGACAACTATTGATTGTTCTATACATTTCCATTCATCAGGAAATTTTTTCTGATGTAAATTTACGTAATATTATGGGGCCCGCCATAAACTTACATAAATAGTGTAATATTATGCAAAAATTGCACAAAAATTATGCAATTATTACATTCAGTGTAAATATTACATCCTTTTTATGCGAAATATTACAATATTTCATATTAAAACTTACGGATGTAATATTATGGCGGGAAAAGTTTCCTGATGCTTTGCCATGGATGCTCCAATAATCTTTTCTCGCATTTTGATCGTCCTACATTGTTTATCAACACTTTAGGATTTACCCTTGGTAATGCTTCAATTGCTAGTTCCTGCAAAGTATGATCAGCAGAGATTTTTTTGAGCCGTCTATTGACAACATAAGTTTGAATTGTAGATTGAGGACTCCTATCATGTGAATTATCAAGAATTTCCAAAAGCATGTCAGAAAAATTGAAAGAGCGTTTTTTATTTTGTTTAGAGTTAGTTTGTATGGTTTCAACTTTTTCAGTATCTCCAGATGTTGAGACAGTACTTAATGGGACTCCATTAACAACATTTCTGCTGTAGAATATTCAATGGGTGGGAAAAAAAGGTTACACATTAACTAGAGTGACGACAAGTAGCGAGCAATAACCACCACCACCATCCTTAAAACACTTACCCGAATATTTTTTCAGTATCTTTTCCTTGTTTTCTCTGTTTATATTTTCTTTTCATATTTTTTTAAAAAAAAAGGAAAAAAGAGTTTGTTATTTGATCTGCGTGTACACCAATTATTTATCCTTTTTTTTGGAGCATGATGGACATTTGTATGCTACACAATCACCAATATACATTTCAATTGAAGATTTTAAAGTACTATTACCCCATTTGGAAGGTGAATGAACGAACACTAATTAACCTGTGTTCAAACTTTGCAGTATTATAATCCTTTATCTTTTAAAATGTTTTCCATGTCAGATCAGATCAGATCAAACTTCCTTGACTTCAGTAATATAATAGTGAAAAATGCCAAAAGCTAAACAATGCGTGCTTTGTAAAGAAACTAAAACTGAAATTTTAGAACAATAAATGAAAGAAGGAGGCAACAAGGTAATCATTCTATCATT